AATAAGTCCTACTGAACTTGACTCCTTAAAGATAACAAAGGGCAGATTTTCTGAAAGAATCAGTCACTAGGGATCTCCTGAACTCATGGGTTATAGTTCACATTGGAACTTGTATGGAGATAGAGGCCAGGGAAAGACTGGTAATCAAAGTTGCAAACTGACCAGTCATGGTGGCTCAAGCCCATAATCCCAGCACTTTGGGAGGCCGAGGCGGGTGGATTACCTGAGGTCAGGAGTTGGAGACCAGCCTGGCCAACATGGCAAAACTCTATTTCTACTGAAAATACAAAAATTAGCTGGGCATTGTAGCACATGCCTGTAATCCCAGCTACTTGGGAGGTTGGGGCAGGAGAATCACTTGAACCTGGCAGGTGGAGGTTGCAGTGAGCCAAGATAGCACCATTGGACTCCAGTCTGGGCAACAGAATGAGGCTCTGCCTCAAAAAAAAAAAAAATTGCAAACTGCCTTAATATATATATTTTTTTTGAGATGGAGCCCCACTCTGTCACCCAGGCTAGAGTACAGTGGCTTGATCTCAGTCACTGCAACCTCCGCCTCCTTGGTTCAACAAATTCCCCTGCCTCAGCCTCCCGAGTAGCTGGGATTACAGGCACATGCCACCACACCCGGCTGTTTATTTTGCATTTTTAGTAGAGACAGCGTTTCACCATGTTGGTCAGGCTGGTCTCAAACTCCTGACCTCGTGATCTGCCTGCCTTGTCCTCCCAAAGTGCTGGGATTACATGCGTGAGCCACCACCATGCCTGGCCCAATAATGTTTTTGATAGAGTGCTATGCAGGCTGATAGAGTGTAACTGGTCAACTGTAGAATAATGGTCTTTAAAGCCTGTTTGCTTCTCAGTAGAAAAAATGGCTTGAGAAAATAGATTTAAAATTTGTTAAGTGGGAGTAGAAGAAAGCCTTTTTAAAAAAGGTATAGGTTTATTCTGAGTTCATCCATTTCAGTTCTTACCAGATGTATTAGTCCATTTTCACAGTGCTATAAAAAATACCTGACTGGCCAGGCATGGTGGCCCAGCCTGTAATCCCAGCACTTTGGGAGGCTGAGGCTGGCAGATCAGAGATCAGGAGTTCGAGACCAACCTGGACAACGTGGCGAAACCTTGTCTTTACTAAAAATACAAAAATTAACTGGGTGTCATGTCAGGCACCTGTAGTCCCAGCTACTTGGGAGGTTGAGGCAGGAGAATCACTTGAACCCAGGAGGCGGAGGTTGCAATGAGCCAAGGTGGCACCACTGCACTCCAGCCTGGGCAACAGAGCAAGACTCTATCTCAAAAACAAACAAACAAACAAAACAACCAGAACTACCTGTCAGGGTAATTTATGAAGAAAAGATGTTTAATTGACTCACAGTTCTGCAGGCTGTTCAGGAATCATGGCAGGAAGGCCACAAGAAACTTACAATCATGACAGAAGGTGAAGGGGAAGCAAGCACCTCTTACCACGGTGGAGCAGGAGAGAGGGACAATGAAGTGGGACAAGCCATACATTTTTAAACACCCAGATCTTATGAGAACCACAATCACAAGAACAGCAAGGGGGACATCCACCTCCATGATTTAATCACCTCCCACCAGGTCCTTCTCCCAGCATTGGCAATTACAATTTGACATAAGATTTGGGTGGGGACACAGAGCCAAACCATATTAGTAGGCCTATTACCGGTGTAAGTGGACGGCCAGGATTTGGAACACACCAGTCATATTGAACTTTGGACAGTTGGAGGTCCAGGAAGTTTTCACTGTGGCTTGACATAATTTGGGTATCATAACACCAGGGCTAGAAGGTGTGGGCTTTGCAGTTAGACAGGCCTGGATTGGGGTCATGGCTTTGCCACTGAACCAGCTGTGAATACTCAAGCAAGTGGCCAGTCTTTCTCAGCCCCATTTTCCTTGTTTATAAAATCAAGGTAATAGCATCTACTAAGAGAGGTGCTGGGAGGTTTAAATAAGGGAATACACATAAAATACTTAGCACTATGTTTAACACATTGTTGGTGGCTATTGTTCGTGTACTTTAAAATTAATTCTACATGTATAAATAGGTTCTTTTCCACAATCTGATCAGAGTAAGGACCTAGGAAGATTGAGAAAATAGCCTCCAGGTCCTATAATTGAGAAAATTAAGCCTCCTTGAAGTCTAAAGTTGGGTCTAGAATTCCATAATCTCAGTTCTAAATCTGATCTCATTACTGATTTTATAGCCAAGAAAGCAAAAAAACCATTTACATAAGGTCTTAATTGGATCAGATTCAGCCCCCACTTTAATATTAGCTTTCATGTGTCATGTGATTAACCTGTCCAAGATTTTTTTTTTTGCTGTCCTTTCAAGCCAAGAATTGGAAGGCTGGGCCCAAGTCTGGCAAACATGGGCCTAATGCAGAAAGCCAACTTTAAAATATATAATCTCTTTAATAATCTTAACAGACATAAAAAATAAGCTACAATCTAAAAATTTAAGAGGCATAAAAAGAAACACAAAAATAAATGAAAAAAATAGAAACTAAAATAGTTTCATTTTAAAAGAAAAAACAATTTGAGTTGAACTTTTAATGAAAGATAAAAATAGAAAATGTTTTTTTAAAAAGGTAAGAAAAATGTAAGGCAAGAACTCAGAAATGAAACAGTGCGAGTTAGAACAGATTACTAAAATGGCACAGCTATATAAAGGCATAGAAGTTTTAAAAACAAGGTAAAAATATGTCGTCCACAAAGATAAAGAATAAATTCATCTGAAAGTAGGCGAGCAGCATAATTTTGAAGCAGGTCCTCTAAACGGGAGCAATTTACCCAAGCTGATCCTCTGCAGAGCCTGCTGAGGGCGGGGCTACCAGTTAGTGATATTGACACCCTTTGTGCAGTCCTCCTGAGCCATTCATTAAGGTCCTTAACCTGTAGTATTTGGGTCATCCCTCTTGGCAGCTCCAGCTATGGGGTATTGTTATCCCTGCTTTACAGAGGAGGAAACACAAGTTTGGATGCATACCTTGCCCCACTAGCAGGTGGTGGAGCAGGAGCCCAGAGTGATGATAAAACCCATGCTCTTTTTCTCATTTTTTGCCGTCCAGGAAGCATCGTTATCATTATCAACAGGAAAGATAATAGGCCAGGGGCAGTGGCTCATGCCTGTCATCCCAGCACTTTGGGAGGCTGAGGCAGGTGGATCACTTGAGGCCAAGGGTTCAAGACCAGTCTGGCCAACATGGCGAAACCTGATTCTACTAAAAAAATACAAAAATTAGCCAGGCGTTCTGGCAGGCGCCTGTAGTACCAGCTACTAGGGAAGCTGAGGCAGGAGAATCGCTTCAACCCAGGAGAGGGAGGTAGCAGTGAGCCAAGATGGCGCCACTGTGTGCGCTCCAGCCCCGGCAACAGAGTAAGACTCTGTCTCAAAAAAGACAAAAACAAAAACAAACAAAAAAACCTAAAACAACAGAATTCCTCTCCTCCTCATTCTCCCCCCTCCCCCTGTCAAGGTTACCTATCCATTAGGAGAGAATGCCACTCTTAAATGTCCCAGCAATGGGAAACGTGCAGTTTATACTAATAATGCGCTGTTACATTTTTTATATTTTCTCCTCCCATTTTTTTTTGTGAGAGCTTATCCAGTTATTCAAACATTTGCTTCAGTTCTAAATTACTGAAACATTACTAAATATTTCTTTGATGTGGCCCCTTTCCTCCATCTTCACTGCCACTACCAAGTTCAGGTCACCATCCTGTCCTTCCGTGTGTTAGTTTCTGTGTCTACTGTGATAAATTACCACATTCTTGAGTGACTTAAAATGACAGAAATGTATCCCTCACAGTTCTGGGGGCCAGAAGTCTGAAATCAAGGTGTGGGCAGGGCTGCGCCCGGTCCTGAGCCTCTAGGTGTGGGTCTGTTCCTTGCCTCTTTCAGCTTCCAGTGGCCACGGCATTTCCCAGCTTGTGGCTACGTCACTCCAGTCTCTGCCTCTGTGGTCACATTGCCCCTTTTCTGTGCTTGTCACATCCCTGCCTCCTCTTATAAGGATACGTGTGATTGCATTTAGGGCTCAGCCAATAATCCAGGAGAATCTGCCTGTCTCAAGATCTTCAATTTACTCATATTTGCAAAGACCCCTTGTTGGCATATTAGACAACATTTACAGGTCCCAGGGATTGGGATGTGGATGTCTTTTAGGGGGCCATTTTTCATCCTATGGCACCACTAGACTTTTGCAGCCCTCTCTGCCTCCTGCCCTCCACCCTGCAGCCCGAGTTCCTCTAAACATGCAGATCATGTCATGGTCAGCTTTAAAGCTCTTCACATGTACCCCAAAACCTAAAATGCAATAAAATAAATTAAAAAAAAACAAAACAATAAAAACTCCTCGCTGGTTCTGGGGGCCATCCTATTTCCCAGTGTGGCCTGTGAATACCTCTCTATCTTCCTGTCCCTTGCTCCTCCCTTCCTCATTGTGGTCCACCATGCCCCACTTCTTCCTGTTCCCCGGAGACGCTGGATCCGCTCTCTCTGGGCCTTGGTGTGACACTTTGCTACCTCCTCACTCTTTGTTTGGCCCATGCCGCTTCATGATTCAGTTCTCATTCCTTCACTTCACTTTGAAGTCTAAGTTTTCTTGGCCTTTACTTCCTCCAAGAAAGCTTGCTTTCCGCGTGCTGGGCCGGGTGCACTTTTCTGCATGCCCCATCTGAGCTCTCACCTGAGGGGCCATGTCCACCTTTCATGGGATGTGTTCCCTGCACCTGACACAGTGCCTGACACACAGGAGACTTACCTGTTTGTTGATGAGAATGCCTATAGGAGGGGAACCTCTGCATCCACCCACCAAGAGAAATACTGCAGCAAAGGGCACTAATCCACGTAGAAATCTTTGCTGTGTGAATGCCAAAAGTTTCCATAGCTCATTATTTTTAAGCAAAAAACCAAGAACCACGTGATTGTGAGATCGAAGAAAATATTTTCATCTTCTTGTTCTGTTTTCTTTCAGGCCATTCCTGTGTTTCTCACTTTGCATAATGTAGCTGAAGTTATCATCTGTGGGTACCAGAAGTGTTTTCGGAAAGAGGTAAACGATCATGCAAAATGCTGGTGTTACTTCCTTGCTTTAAATTTCAAAGAAGCACTTTTCTTTTTATGGTCCAGATTAGTGTCTGCCTTTTCCTGCCACCAGTCTCCAGGAAAGACCGCCTGACAGTGGTCACTGATACCATGGGACACAGTTTGGACTTTGCTGCAATTCACCAGACATATGTGGGAATAGTGTTGATGTGAACAGAGCTCAGCTCCAGGCCAGGCTGACCCAGACCCTTGGGAGACAGGAGTTTGCTGTGGGCCTGGTGGGGAAGCATTCCCATCCCCAGCCAATCCAGCACCACAGGACAAGGCGTAACAGAGTTTCACACAGGGTGCTGCGGCACTAGCCCAGCCCAGGGAAATTTGCTTTTCTCTGCAATCCCAGCTATACCTCATACCAGAGAGAACAAGCTCCTTCACCTTCCAGGCCTCCATCTGTGCAAGGTGGTAATAATAACACCAGCTTGAACAAGGCGGTGTCATTGTTACTACCTTGCACGGTCCTTGTTTTTCGAAGGACTCAGCAACTTCCCCTGTTAAGTGAGTGTTTCCAGCTGTTTCAGCACGCAGTAGGTGTTCTGCACATCAGCAACAATTAGTAATGTTAGTAGAGGTGGTTTTAACTTGATTTTTCTTTTGGGAGTTTTTTTTTTCTGGAATTTGCTTTTTTGGTTTCACGTCAATTTTTGGAACATTTCAATTTATTTTTATTTTAGAGACAGGGTCTTGCTCTGTTGCCCAGGCTGGAGTGCAATGGCACACTGATAGCTCCCTGCAGCCCCAGATTCCTGGGCTCAGGTGATCTTTCTGCCCCAGCCTCCTGAGCAGCTGGGACCACAGGCATGAGCCACTGCACCTGGCTACTTTTAAATTTTTATTTGTAGAGATAGGGTCTTGCTATGTTGCCTAGGCTATTCTTGAACTCCTGTGCTCAAATGATCCTCCTCTTGCCTCAGCCCCTGAAAGTGTTGGAATTACAGGTGTTAAACATCACACCCTGCCCAATGTTTGGAACTTGTAAACTAGAGAGAGGCCAACTGGCCACCTCAGGCCACATGCTTACAGCTGTGCAGGAAGGGAGCCCATGGCCATACCCGACCTCCCTCTGTCATCCCACGGCTCCTCGGAGGTGGCTCTGTCAGTCACCTCTCCTCTCTCCTATACTGTGAGCCTCTCCCTCACTGCTGGCTTAGTTTCCTGGGCCCATAAACATGCTTGGTGATATCAGTGCACTGAGGAGAGGGTGGGCTCTCCTTCCCGTGTGACAGTGAGAGAGAGAAGAGACTCACTTCACCAGCCCTGGAAGGGTGTGTTTACAAAACCAACCCTCACACAGGAAAATCTCAAGCTGCCTTGCCTGAGCACCTCCCCCTCTGCCTCACCGCTTCTCTCCGCTCCCCTGCCACAGGCCTCAGACAGGGCCGGGCTTGGTGTTGTCCCTGCCCTCTTGTCCCTGTCACCTTCTGTTGCTCCTGCTTGCCCCCCACCATTCTCCTGAGACTGCCCTGGCTGAAGGCACTGGTGGCTTCATCTGTGCAACTTATCATGTCTGTTTCCATGATTGCCCCCCCACTTTCTCCCCAGCCTCTCTGGGCCCCCTTGGCCTCCATGCCCACTTCTTGCTTGGTTCCCTTCCTGGGTCTTGGGCTTTTCCTTCATCTGCCTTTCTCTTCCTTTTTGTCTGCCTCTTCAGTGTCTCTCTGGGCTGTTTCCTTATGCCACACACTTTCTGGAAAATCTCATCCACACCCATTGCACCAGCCACCTTCTGTTCATAGAGGACCTGCAAGTCTCCATCTCCAGCCCAGACCTCCCTGTTGAGTGAGCTAAGCTCCCCTGCAGCACCCTGGGGCTTGCTGAGCTGTGGTTCTCCACGGGCATCTGAAATGAAACCGATCTGTTTCTCCAGACCTGCTTCTCACTTGGTAGCCCCAATCCTGGTCATCATCCCCAAGTCAGAAACCTAGGAGGCTCGTTGGACTCCCCGTATCCCCTCCCCACCACATCGGGCCTGTTACCAGGTCTGTGCCTCCTCCACCCTAGTTCAACCCTCATCTTCTTCTCCAGGTTGCCTGGCCAGGACTGTGGAAGAAGAGCTTGATCCCCTGAGCCCTTGGGCAGGGCCTGGAGTGAGGAGCCCTGGGCTTAGACAGTTGTGGTTTTCTATTTGGCAGTCCCACTGCCAAGGCTGGGAGGTGGAGGCCTCTCAGCACTTGGGCTGGTCTCTGCAGCTGGAGGGTTCCCTGGATGGACACCTGTCTCTGACGTTTGACTTACAGCACCATCGTGCAGTTTCCATAGTCCATCAGTTCTAGCATGTGGCTCTTAAAATCAATGATGTGACCTGGTATAATTTCTACATAAAATAAGTGGAAGTTTTACAATCAATGGTGTCTTAGAGGAGATACTGCATTATTTTTCCCGTGTCTCAGGCCAGCTTCCCTGAGCCCTGGGACTGAGTTAAGGAATCACTAAATGGTCACTGAGGTTCAACGGCAGAACCTCTCTGAGAGTGGCTTAGCCCTGGGAACCTGACCTGTGCAAATTCCAGAAATTGTATTCTCCAAAGGGATTCTTTCTTCTTTTTTATTTTTTGAGACAGAGTCTTGCACTGTCACCTGGGCTGGAGTACAGTGTCATGATCTCTACTCACTGCAACCTCCGCCTCCCTTGGTTCAAGCAATTCTTCTGCCTCAGCCTCCCAAATAGCTGGGATTACAGGTGTCTGCCACCATGCCCAGCTAATTTTTTGTGTTTTTACTAGAGACGGGGTTTCGCCATGTTGGCCAGGCTAGTTTCAAACTCCTGACCTCGTGATTAGCCCTCCTCGGCCCCCTGAAGTGCTGGGATTACAGGCGTGAGCTACCACGCCCACCCAAGATACTTATGAATTTAGAAATGAAGACTTACGTGGTCTAGGGACAAGATCAAGGCATCTGCACAGGGTTTTGCTTCCTGATGGGTAGGTCAGAGCCTGTAGACGAGGGTGACTGTAAGACTCAGGGTTAGAAAGTCTTTTAGGGATGTTTCCATCCAGCAGGGGACCTCTTCCATTCTAGAGACCAGGGCAGATGTCTGTCTGAGAGGCCCTGACCTTGGAAATAACTGAATGAACACCATAAGATTTTGAATCTTCAACTCCATTTCATTACTAACCCAAAACATCATTTCTTGTCAGGACAAACTAGAAAAACAGTGAGCGGGTAACTTTTTTTTTTTTTTTTGTACTTATTAAATCTGTCTCTTCTTTATAAATCTAAGAAGATTTAAGATGTCATAGAAAATACAGAGGGAGGCCAGGCACAGTGGCTCATGCCTGTAATACAAAAGCTTTGGGAGGCCAAGGCAGGAGGATCACTTGAGGCTGGGGGTTTGAGGCCGCAGGAAGCCATGATTGTGCCACTGCAACAGCCTCGGCAACAGTGAGACCCTGACTCTAAAAACCCAGAAATCAGCTGTGTTTCTACTTTTCTGAAGAAACCATTCTTTTTTTTTTTTTGAGACAGAGCCTTGCTCTGTCGTCAGACTGGAGTGCGGTGGTGTGATCTCGGCTCACTGCAACCTCTGCCTCCCAGGTTCAAGTGATTCTCCTGCCTCAGCCTCCTAAGTAGCTGGGATCATAGGCGCCATCGTGCCTGGCCAATTTTTGCATTTTTGGTAGAGATGGGGTTTCACCCTGTTGGTCAGGCTGGTCTCAAACTCCTGACCTCCTGATCTGCCTGCCTCGGCCTCCCAAAGTGATGGGATTACAGGCGTGACCCACCGCGCCCAGCCGAAACCACTGTATTCTTTCAGACTCTTTTCCTATGCACGTACATGTATATGGATGTATTTGCACGAATGTGAGATACATTCTGTCTTTCCATTTTACAGTTTGTCAGGAATTCCTCTTCAGTCTGTCATCCACATTGGTTGAAGCATGTGTTGGCCTTTCCCTATTTATAGAATTGTAGGTGGTTTTTAGCAGTTTAGGGTTAAAATCTGCTCCATGATGCCGCTGTGATATGTTCTTGATGAGACTTATGTTTCTGATGATACAGCTAGGAGCCTTGATGAAATAATCCCTTATCATCAGGAACACACTTGACGCCACCTCAAAGACTGTTAAATGTTACAACTAGGAGTATTTTGTCTACTGGGTGTAGATTTTACTAGGATCAGTTTTGGAGAGTAAAAGTTGACCTCCTGAGACTTCATTCTCAGATTATGAAAATAAACTATCTGGACCCGTAGAGTTCATTTTCACCATCCACAACAAGGTATTTGTGTATTCATGCACACGCACACACAGTTTGACTGTAAGGCGATGCATGGCTAGAGGAATTAATCTAACAACCTTGCAGACTTATTTATTACAGTTTAATATAGAATACTCCTATCTGTTTATTCATTTGTTCAGCGTTTATCAGGTACTTATGAAATGTCAAACATTTTGCTAGGCCTAAAGCTGCAGAGATGTAGGAGACGCATTTCTTCTTCTGTTTTTTTTTGAGGCGATGTCTCACTCAGTCGCCCAGGCTGGAGTGCAGTGGCGCAATCTCCACTCACCGCAACCTCCAACTCCCGGGTCCAAGTGATTCTCCTACCTCAGCCTCCTGAGTAGGTGGAACTACAGGCGCGTGCCACCACACCCAGCTAATTTTTTGTATTTTTAGTAGAGGCGGGGTTTCATGGTGTTAGCCAGGATGGTCTCGATCTCCTGACCTTGTGATCCACCCGCCTTGGCCTCCCAAAGTGCTGGGATTACAGGTGTGAGCCACTGAGCTGGGCCCCAGGAGATGCATTTCTTAGCCTTAACCCAGAGTTGAATGGAGGGGCTGGCCTGTACACTTGGGCTGGCACAGGGCATGCGTGGGCCAGCAGGTGAGCTCCAGTAAGTCGGCATGGGAGGAGCAAGGAAAGCTTCCCTAGTGGTGAGATTTGAGCTGAGTCAGGGAGGATGGGAGGGAATTTGCAGTTTGACAGGGAGAAAGGGCTCTCCTTGTCAGGCAGGCAGAGGGGGCATCGAGTGGTGGCTAAGGAGGCCAGCAGGGGTGACACTGCAGGACTGGCAGGCAGGCGGTGGGCAGCTTCCCTTTTTCCTCAGTGCCTCCGTTCTCCTCCTCTGTAACATAGAACCCATGACTGTTACTTACCCCAGGATTAAAGGATTCAATACATGTGGAGCCCTTAGAACCACACCTGGCAGAGTGAGTAGCCCTCGCAGTTCAGCTAGCTAACTCAGAGGAATGTCAGCTATTTATTGTTAATTTTGGCAGCACGACTTTTTTTTTTTTTTTTTTTTTTTTTTTGAGACAGAGCCTCGCCCTGTCGCCTAGGCTGGAGTGCAATGGTGCGATCTCCACTCACTGCAGTCCCTGCCTCCTGGTTCAAGCGATTCTCCTGCCTCAGCCTCCCAAAGTGCTGGGATTACAAGCATGAACCACCATGCCTGGCCCTTTGGCGGCATGACTTTTGAGGAGTTGCATTAACCCATTCAGAACCCTGAGACCTCAGTGGGACTTGTTGCTAGATTATTTTGGACTGAGGATCCTGAAAAGGAAAATGCCTGCCATGGACTCAGCCATATCCAGAGTGCTGGGAGATGGAGCTAAGTAATGAACATATTGCCTGTTTTTACTCTCTGTATCTCAGGATCTGCGCCCTTTTACTCCCCTCTGTGGAGGGGGCTGGCTCTTTTGGCCTGAAACGTTAGCCCTGGAAGTTCCTGGTGAAGAAGTTAGTCATGGAAGGGGAAGAGCATCCCTTTAGTCCCTCCTCTCCATTTCTGCTCTTACACCAGGCTGTTGAGGTTTTGGTTATGTTTAGCTCAATTTTTTAGTAACTGCTGGGCGTGGTGGCTCACGCTTGTAATCCCAGCACTTTGGAAGGCCAAGGTGGGCAGATCACTTGAGGCCATGAGCTCGAGACCAGCCTGACCAACATGGTGAAACCTTATCTCCACAAAAAATACAAAAATTAGCTGGGCGTGGTGGCGCGCACCTGTAATTCCAGCTACTTGGAGGCTGAGGCAGGAGAATCGCTTGAACCCAGGAGGCAGAGGTTGCAGTGAGCCGTGATTGCGCCACTGCACTCCAGCCTGGGCGACAGCAAGACTCTGTCTCAAAAAAAAAAAAAAAAAAAAAAGAATTTTCGAATAACACATTTACTGTATGGGGGCAGTTATGCAGGCGTGAGCCGGATCACCTTTGCCCTCCTCTTTTTGGTTCTTAAGGGCAAACCTCCCAGCAGGTGGCAGCACAGCACGGTTGGCCTCGTGTCCTGTGCTCTGCAGAGGTGGGTTGGACCAAGGTCAAGATTAAAGTTTAAAGATGCAAGCCACAGCTTTGTACACAAATAGAATCTGTTCATTTAAACAGGGGAAACTTTATTGTTTCGGCACACATGAAAACTGAAGGTAGCCTTTGTAGTAAGCCACATGTTTCTCTTGTCAGCTCTTTACTTCTAAACAAGATGTTTATACTTCACACTGTATCTCAGTGTGTACCAGCCTGAACTGGTACCAAAAATTGTAGTTTGTTCCCAACTAGCAGAATAATCTTTCTGAAGTGCTTAAAATTCATCAAAAGATTAATCGTACCTGTTTATTTCCCCTATCAAATATAGAAAAATCTGTGTTATCCCCTCTGCTAACGTGTTACTCTCTGTTGACATGTACAAATTACTTCTCAGTACAAAGATCTGATTTCCTTAAACTGACCCATCAAAAGGAGTTGTTAAGGGTAGAGTCCAAATCAGGATTTCTTCATTTCAAGTAGTTCAAATGCCAAGTTTATATTTCCCCAGCCTACCTTTTTTCCCCTTTTCTCTTGGGGTGGAGTAAAATGTCCCTTCTGTGTTTTTTTAATTTTCATATTACACCAGATAGTTTTTAGGACTGCTCAGAGTCAGCTGGATTCGTGAATGGAATATTTAAAGAGACAAAACTAGAATAGAAGTAGAGATTGGGTGCAGTGGCTCATGCCTGTGATCCCAGTGCTTTAGGAGGATGAGGCAGGAAAATCACTTGAGGCCAGGAATTCAATACCACTGGGCAACATAGCGAGATCCTGCTGCTGCAAAAATTAAAAACAAACAAACAAAAAGATTAGCCATACATGGTGGTGCATGCCTGTAGTCCTAGCTACTCAGGAGGCTGCGGTGGGAGGATTGCTTGAGCCCAGGAGTTTGAGGTTGCAGTGATCGTGTCACTGCACTCCAGCCAGGGCAACAGAGTGAGATTAGATAGATAGATAAACAGATAGATAGATGGATAGATAGATAGATAGATAGATGAGAGAGAGAACAAGAGCTTAATTGCTTTTTAAAATATAGATTTCATCTATTTCTTTCTCTCTTCTCATCTTAGTGTGTGAGATTTTTGAAGACAGGGCCCCAGCTTCATTTTGTCTTTCACGAGTAAACATCATTCTGATGGTGAAAGTACTTTGCTGAAGTGACTCAACTCTGGAATTCTGAGTCATCCTTCATTTGGTCCAAGCAGAAAAAGCCTCAGTAAATACTAAAGTGCAGCAAGCTGTTAAGCCCTTGATAAATCTACTCATAATTTGTTTGCCTCTTGATCAAAATGTTTCCTTTTAAGAGGCATTTTAAAAGTTTTAGAAGTCTAATTGTATGTTTCTTTACTTTTATACAGAAAACATCTCCTGCAAAGATCTGTAGGTAAGTTTACTGTCCTCTCCACAAAAAGCCCTAATATAAGATTTAACCTAATTTCAACTTGGATGATAAACTATTGAAGATTCACACTCTGGAAGGTGGCAGAATAATTTATTACAATCATTCATGTGTCTCTAATTTGTGTCTTAGTCTAAAATTTCCTGTGTTTCTCTTTTCTTTCTGAAATATTTTATTCCAAAAGAGAAAACATCAGAACGAACCTGGGCTAGATTTCAGTCATTGATGCCCAAAACCTTACTAATAGTTGTGTGATACTGATGGAGAATGAAAATGAAAAACATGGAAACGACTTCAAAATTTAAAAGTAATGTTTGCAGTCTATTTGATCTTTAATATTTTCCATGGTGGAAGAAGCACCAGCCTGTGAGTCCTGGGGTCTGAACTGCAGTCCTGGGCCACAGCAGGGTGATCACGGGCAGCCTTCCTCATCCTCTGTGCCTCAGTTTCCTCAGCTGGAGCGTAAACCAGGCCATTCTCTTCTGCAGACCCTGGTGCCTGCAGCATTGGAATTGTAACCTGGGTGCCTTGCATCTGACTGCTTCCCGCTTCCTCTGCAGGCCAAGCAGCTGAGTCCAGGAGACAGAAAACCAACAGAGGTGCTTTGATATATGGACTTAGGATTTCTGCTGCAGCTATTTCTGGGCTTTCATCCAACCCCCACCCTCCTTTTATTCCTTTACTACAGGTTGCACCTTGAAAGAACAAGACAAAACCAAACTTCAGGACTTACCCTCCTGCTTAAAAGGAGATTAGCAGCTGTCAAAGAGAGGCAGTAAACCTCATAATACGTGATTCAGTCAGGCACTGCTTGGGAGGGAAGGCAGGCAGCTGTCTCACACTTGGGCATCGCTCGTCTTCCACAACCCCAAGAGGTTATCTGTTTGGGGGGATCTCTGATGCTCCTTCCCCATGGATGGGGAAGCATCCTCTATTCTGTGAAGCCTTTAACTATAGGTAGACACCAAACCCATCAGGATTCTCTTCTCCTCCCACCCTGAAACCTGTCTTTTCCTAGGCAGGCCCAAGAAGCTCCCCTGACAGTCTTCCCTCCTCTTACCCCACTTTTGCTTTGGATTCTTCTCTAGGTCATTTGTGTGTTGGGGTACCTTGAAAGTCAGCAAGGCTATAGGAGTGGGCAGGCTGGGGTAGAGAAGTGTCCTGAGCCTCAGGCTGCCACATGTTGTCCTGACCTTCCCAAGGCAGTGGAGCCCCAGCTCCGAGGGCCCCTCTTCCAGTCCTCCTGCCCCTGGCCCAGCCAGTCAGTGCTGGTCCGTTGGGTACACTGGACAACTACACATGGTTACAGCAATGAGGACTGTCAGAATTGATCAGCATTCCTGTTTTCAGTTTACTAAGGTTACACACAAGTTGTTGTGTGTTACATATATATGTCTATGTGTGCATATAAAAAACATGTACTCTCTATGTAGCATGCAGAATATATGTTGGTAGGAGATGACATATGAGAGTGAAAACATTGTATTCGGTGCTTTCTTTCATGCCTTTGATCTTTTGCTGTATGCTGCCTGATGGAATAGTCAGTAGTCAGGGAACACTATATATATGTTGCCTCTATAAAATGGAAAGAGGAGAGAGACTAAGTGAAAATTTCAGTTTTGTGCTTTCTGGCGCCTTCTTTTACGAAGAGAGGGTGGGGAAAGCTAGAGGCAAGAGCTTTTGGCATATGAAACTTAGAAGGAATAGGCTGTAAACCAGGGATTACTGAACCAGCTCCGAGTTGACTTTCTAATGAGTGAGGATCGCTTCCTGAAAATATCTGGGTTTGGCAATGTTACTTTCTGTGCAAGAATTTTTCAAAATTGCCTTATTGTGGAAATTTCTAAATATATATCAAAGTAAACAGAATAATGTCATGAATGAAGTCCTGTGCTCCCAGTTCCCAGCTTTAACCATTTTCAGCTTCTGGCCCCACCCACTGCCTTGCTTCAGTATTTATTCCAGGCATCTTAGTATTTCATCTGTGAATATTTTAGTATGTATAAGAGATTTTTCTAATAAAATGTTTTACGAGGGGAAATTTAAACCTACAGAAAGGTGGCAAGAATATTCCAGTGAACTCACATGTATTCTTCACCTAGATTCACCCATTGGTAACATTTTTGCATTTGCTTTCTTGCTATCTCAATGTGTGTACACACACACTCAGAGAGACACACACACACATATCACATTAAATATATGATAATGTAGGTATTATTCTTGCTCTTATTTTTCCTGAATTGTTTGAGAATAAGTTATAGAGGTCATGAATCTACTCCTAAATACCTCAAACTGTGTCTCCTAAAAACAATCCCTTAGATACCCAAAGTGCAATCATTGAATGTAGAAGATAACGTCTGATCTGATATTATTTAGTATTGAATCCATGTTCAAATTTTGCCAGGTATCACAATAGTATCTTTTTTTTTTTTTTTTTGCAATTGAGTCTCACTCTGGCACCCAGTCTGGAGTGCAGTGGCGCCATCTTGGCACCCTGCAACCTTCATCTCCCGGGTTCAAGTGATTCTCCTGCCTCAGCCTCCTGAGTAGCTGGAACTATAGGCATGTGCCACCACTCCTAGCTAATTTTTGTGTTTTTAGTAGAAATGGGGTTTCACCATATTGGCCAGGCTGGGCTCAAACTCCCAAACTCAAGTGAGCTGCCTGCCTTGGCCTCCCAAAGTGATGGGATTACAGGTGTGAGCCACTGCACTGGCACAACATTTTATATCATTTTTTTACCCTGACGATGTCTAGGCCAGGCGTGGTGACATGGAGAAACCCTATCTCTACTAAAAATACAAGATTAGCCGGGCATGGTGGTATGCCTGTAATCCCAGCATTGGGAGGCTGAGGCAGGAGAATCACTTGAACCTGGGAGGCGGAGGTTGCAGTGAGCTGAGATCATGCCATTGCACTCCAGCCTGGGCAACAAGAGCGAAACTCCATCTCAAAAAAGAAAAAGATGTTATGTCTCTTTGTACCCTTTAATCTGGAACAGCTCCTCAGCTTTTTATTATCTTTCATTGCCTTCACATTTTTGAATAGGGGAGGCCTGTTGTTTTGTGAACTGTCCCTAAATTTGGTTTGTCTCAGTGTCTCCTCATGGTTCAATCCACACTCCATGTGTTTGACAGGAATACCACCCGAGTGATGTTGTGTCCTTCTGAGTTTTGTATCAAGAGGCACACAATGTGGATCTGCCTCATTACTGGTGGTAGTAAGTTTGATCGTTTGGTTGTGGGGGTGCACAAAGGATTTTAATGTGATTTCTGTAGCGTTTTCATTTTTGAAATTGGCATATTTGTGGTCTGATCCCCCAGTTTTTCACTTGCATATTTTTGGGGATCTGCAGTTGAAAAAAAATGCTTATTTTACTAGATGTTTCACAGGCACACTATTTTCCTCGAGTGAGCCAGCTGTGGTTTTGCAGATGTCCTGTAAATGCCTGACGCTGGGAAGTGGCTAGCTGAGGTCCAGAGAAGGAAATGTCTGCTTATGAGTAGAGCACATAATTGAAAACTACACTGGTATCAGGTTCACAGAGGAGGGACAGAGGAACCAAGTTGGTCTTGCAGGATCTGTGGCTCATGCACACTCCAGAGGATGCGTCTTCACCTACCCCCCCTTGGGGACACCTTTGATGTTGAAAGGTGAAGCTGCAGCATTTTATCTCCCTCTCCACAGTGCCCTCTTCCTCCTGGCCGCAGCAGGATGCCTTCCCTTCAATGACTCCCAGGTAAGTCCAGGTGAACTCATTTTGCCTTCAAAGTGTCTTTTATTCTCTGAAGCCTGGGTGTCTGACCAGAATTTCCTAGTCCTCCCTTGTAGAAGCAGGGTAACCTGGCCTATGCAGAAGCATTCTAAAGCTTTCAGGCTGGATAGCTTTGAGCCAAGGCAACACCTTCTCCCTGGGCCTTTGCCTTCTCCCCAAGGCTGCAGCCATCGTGGTCACAGAGCTCTGGCCCCTGGGCACTGTGGTGCTTGGCATCTGTCCTCTGCCCGTGCCTGGTGAACCTGCAAGCCAATGCCCAAGTTACCCCAGCCTCAGGCATGGAGGCAAAGTTGACTTCCTCCCCTCCCAAGGGCCTCATCTCCTGCAAAGTGATTTTTTCTTTTTGTTTTGTTTTGTTTTGTTTTCAGACGGAGTGTCACTCTGTTGCCCAGGCTAGAGTACAGTGGTGAGATCTCGGCTCACTGCAACCTCCACCCTCCGGGTTCTAGCCTCAGCCTCCCAAGTAGCTGGGATTACAGGCACCCGCCACGACGCTTGGCTAATTTTCTGTATTTTTTTTTTTTTTTTCTGAGACGGAATTTCACTCTTGTTGCCCAGGCTGGAGTGCAATGATGTGATCTTGGCTCACCACAACCTCCGCCTCCCAGGTTCAAGCAATTCTCCTGCCTCCACCTCCCAAGTAGCTGGGATTACAGGCATGAGCCACCATGCCCAGCTAATTGTGTATTTTTAGTAGAGACAGGGTTTTTCCATGTTGGTCAGGCTGGTCTCGAACTCTTGACTTCAGGTGATCCACCTGCCTCAGCCTCCCACAGTGCTGGGATTACAGTCATGAGCCACTGCACCCAGCCTAATTTTTTTGTATTTTTAGTAGGGACGACGTTTTGCAATATTGGCCAGGCTGGTCTTGAACTCCTGACCTTAAGTGATTCACCTGCCTCAGCCTCCCAAGGTGCTGATATTACAGATGTGAGCCACTGCGCCCAGCCTGCAGCGTGATTTTTATTTTATTATCCTGTGCTAAAGTTGAATTTTCTTTATGAGGTGCCGAGGACCCACCCTCACCCCCAGTGAGGGTGGGTCGTATTTCTGGGTTTCCTTTCTTTCTTTCTTTTTTTCTCCCTCCTTTTCTCCCCCAGCATTATTAGGTCCCCATCAAGTGTCAGGCCCTGAGCCAGGCCCTGGGGACACAAAGAGGAAAATTAATCTTTGCTCAGGCACAAGTCAAGTCTATTTGGAGCAAAGGGGAGGGAAACAGTAAACAGATCATTATCACACAGGGAGGCCAGGGGTACAGGAGGCTCTGAAGCATCTAAGAAGACATGGGGCCTCGGGAAGTCGGAGCAGCCACAATGACAGGGGCCTGCTGTGTGCCAGGCTCTGTGCCAGTGCTTTCTGTGCCTTGTGTTATTTAAAATCTCATAACATTTCTGTAATGGTGGGAGCATTATTATCTCCATTTCATAGCATAGAATAAGGAGGCCCAAAAGGCCACCAGCTAACAAAGAAGTGGGGATTTTAGAATTTATCCCAGATCTCTCTGATGTTAGAGCCAGACTTTGCTTGCAGGACTTAAATCTGGAAGAATGAGGAGGAGTTAGCCAGAAGAAGAAGGCAGGTGAGGGCAGTCCTGGAGGTCATGAGTATCCTGCAATCCAGCCTTATTGAACATCTTCTATGTGTCTGCCCCTGTTCTAATTCCTGCCTCCCTGGAATGTACAATCTAGGAGAGGAGAGGGCAGGGGGAGATAGTGACAGATAAATGAATAACGAAGAAATAAATAGGATGTGTCCTATGATGCAAAGTCCCATGAAGAATAATAAGGGAAGAACTAGAGGGTCCCCTCAGCTGAGTTGGAGGGGGCAGCAGTCATGCTTGGAAAATGCAAGTAATCCTTGTTAAGGAACGCAGGGGGCTGTGCATGCAACCGGAGGGGTGGAAGGGGGCTTGACACAGAGGTCTTAGGGTGTCACGAGTTTGGATTTGAACACAATGTGATGGCAGTGTGGGGCATGGGGTGTTGAGGCAGAGTCCTGTTAGGAAGATGTTGTGGACAACTGGGTGAGGAATGAGAGGGAACCGAGGAACTGACGTAGGCCCCGGGAGTCCTATTTTGGGACCCTCACTTGGCACTGCGTTGGTGACAGGGTTTCTGATGGCCATACTGGATCCTGTTTGCCTGTACTTATAACCATTTTTTCTTTTTTTAATTCTGTGTTCTAGTTTGATCCAGATGGATATTTTTGGGCTCTAATTCACTTATTCTGTTTAGGTAAGTTTTAAAAGAATGCTTACGTAGGGCTGAGCATGGTGGCTCATACCAGTAATCCCAGCACTTTGGGAGGCCAAAGGCAGGCAGATGCCTTGGGCCCAGGAATTGGAGACCAGCCTGGCAACCTTGAGAAACCCCATCTCTACAAAAAATACAAAAATTAGCCAGGCATGGTGGCACATGCTTGTTGTCCCAGCTGCTCAGGAGGCTGAGGTGGGAGGATCATCTGAGCCCAGGGAGGTCGAGGCTGCAGGAGCCATGATCATGCCACCACACTCCAGCCTGCGCAAAAGAGTGAAAGCCTGTCAAAAAAAAAATAAATAAATAAAAAATAAGAGGTGGGGGGAGGGCGAGAGGGAGGGAGGAAGGGAGGCTTACTTGAATAATTGAGATTTTTTGGTGTACCCACCTTTTGGTGACCTTGGACAATAGGAAAATTAATCCAAGGTGTGAAGTTTAAAATTAAATGGGCATTTTCTGGATTGGTTTTCTATTTTCAAGTTTTCCCTCCAATGTTTCAATTTCCAATATACTTTCCTCTTTTTCATGACAAATATGAACTAACTCCCCGTGGCTTGGGGTTTCGCCTGCTCAAGTCAACTTTTGGAATGCTGATTGGTCTTCTCTAAAAACGGTGGGAAGATATCCACAAGTTCATGTCAAAACCATTTTCTTTCAGTAATTTACCAAAATAATTTAAGCCGGTCAAATAAAAGGACCATCTGATCATCTGATTTTATTACAAATTATATGCTCCGTGTTGCTTGTCTGTAGTCTTAGCAGGGAAAGCAGTACCCTGTTAACACAGCTCAGAAACTTTCAGAAACCCAGCAGTGTTTCTTTTTCATGTGCTTCAACGTCAAGGAAGTGAAACCTTCCTGTTAATGGTGTCCTTCATTGATCATGACACTTTCCATGTCCAGCACTCTGGGAACCACTGGAAGGATGGACTGCATCATCATAGAGGATTATTGCATTGGCACCCTTGAAACCTTCCAAATGTTGCTGGTCTTCTGTCAGCTGGGTGTGTCCCTCGTAGGGAAAAGGACCAGCAGTTGTGCCTTTGGGTGCCTTTATCCATGCGGATTTTCTGTTTCCCTGGACATGCCAGGAGCTCCTTGAGCAGAATGCCACGACCAGTGATATGTTTTATTTCATTTTCAGGGGCTTATAAAATACTACAGAAGTTTCAGAAACCCAGTGCATTAAGGTAAACTCCTTTTTTTTTTTTTTTTTTTTTTTTTTTTTGAGATGGAGTTTTGCTCTTGTTGCCCTGGCTGGAGTGCAATGATGCAATCTTGGCTCACTGCAACCTCCACCTCCTGGGTTCAAGTGATTCTCCTGCTTCCGCCTCCTGAGTAGCTGGGATTACAGGCATGCACCACCATGCCCGGCAAATTTTGTATTTTTAGTGGAGACGGGGTTTATCCAATGTTGGTCAGGCTGGTCTCGAACTCCCAACCTCAGATGATCTGCCTGCCTCGGCCTCCCAAAGTGTTGGGATTACAGGCGTGAGCCAACGCACCCAGCTGAGGTAAAGTCTTAATGTTTGGTGAGCTGTGATTGGGTTAAAGGAAAGGGGTGAGACATGTGGTATCATGAGATTTTTCCATTCAGCCAGAGACTCCGCAGGCCTGTGTTGTGGCAAGGGCAGGGGACTTAGCCCTTGAAGCCGTCCCTCTTCTTGCTGTTTAGGCCACTCCAGGCTGGGTCCACCAACACCTGGAACATGTCTGCCTTTAGCTGTGTGTGAAGAGGCATGGAAGTCTCAGTCTCCTTCCTTCTTTTTCTTGTTTCCCCAGCCCTGTTCTAACTTTAGACCCAGAAGTCTCTCCACTTACTGGCTCCATTCTTGGGTAAAATGAGGCCTTTGTTGCAGGCAGTCAATGGAGCAGCCTTGGTGAATGTCAATGAAAAAAGATATGACTTCAGGCCTGGAGCGACGGGGCCAGTGCCCCTAGACTGGCCAGCTGGTCTCTGGGTTTTGAGGCCTGCTGAAGGCCTAAAGAGAGAAGATCCGAAGGGAATGACTCCTGAGCAAATGTCATCCACTTTGAGAATGTGGGGCTCTCACTCCTTGGAGCACCTTTTGTTCTTTTAATAAAGTGTTTTTGTTGCAAGAAGCCAGTAGAGTTGCCAGGTGAAATACAGGATGCCTGGTTGCATTTGAATTTCAGATAAGCCTCGAATAATTTTTGTAATATTCGGAACATACAGTACTTACCCTAAAACATTACTTTTATCTGAAGTTCAAATGTATTTGATTGCCCTGTATTTTTACTTGTTAAATATGGTAGCCCCAGAAGCCAGTCCAGTGGCCTAAGATAGTTGACACTACTTTGAAAGTGACAGATGTACACATGGGAAACAGTTGCCCACAGGTGAAAATATGTGTGATTTAAATTGAACTAGGAACTGGTTTTGAATATTAAATACTTTTCCCTCTATTTATGGATAATTTACAAAAGTAGTAATTAAAATAGGATTTATTTATAGAAGGTAATGATTATTTTATGTATTTAGAATAGTTCTGCTATTTCATTTAACTTTTTTTCTCTCTCTCATTTCTTAGTGATATTGACCAGCAATACTTAAACTATATATTCAGGTAAAATTAATTTACATTTTAAAAGAACCATTCATATCCTTTTAGGGCTAATGGATTCTTATTTTTCAATATTATTTTGATTGAAGAGTTCTGAGCCAATGTGCTCGCCAGGAAGACAAGTGACAAAATTTGTGAGATGACTAGAGTTGAGGAAACCAAATAGTAGTCCTGCCTTTAGACCAAGCAAGAGGGGCCTCTCTCAGGCCCTGAACTTCAGAGGGCCACGTCCCTCCTCCTGAGTGTGGCATCTGTGAGGCTCAGGGACGTTTCTTGCTTTTGGGTGTGTCCTTGAATCCCCCACCTGTGTCCCTGAGCTTGATTCCCGGTCTGTCTTCCCAACTCATTCCCAAGCCCAAGGGGTGTCCAAAGAGAGACGGCCAGTGGGCAGGCATGTAGGTGGAGGTAACCTTGCAGGCTCAGGTGTCCACACGCATGTGTGAGGCCCTGGGGCTGCAGGATGGAGCCTGGGATGCAAAGAAAAGGGGGGCACTGGCAGCCAGGAGTCAGAGGCTGCCCTGGGCTGCTACACTCTGACATGCAGCACCAGGGAGCCCAAGAATTCTACATTTTCATCTGGACTTTCAGGTTATTTTGAAGGTATATTTGTTAAGGTAGGATGAATTTTGAGGCTTGATTCATAACTTTTAAATATGGTATGTGTACTTCTGTTTGTACCCTTGTCCCAAGCCAAGCAGAGAATGAGCCTGCTTACTACGACAGTATGATATGCCTCTTTTATATTAGTATAATTTCTTCATTATAATTTACATGTAATTTATAATCTTAGAACTATAAGCGTTTCCACATTGAGAGGCTGAGGCAGGAGGATCACTTGAGCCCCAGAGTTGAAGGTTACAGTGAATTATGATCACGCCACTGCACTCCAGCTTAGGCAACAGAGGGAGATCTTGCCTCAGAAAACAAACAAACAAAAGTATTCAGGGCTTCAAGTTACATTTTTCTTCAAACAAACATAGCCCCACCACAGTACACCTAGAGGTGATTAATTCCAGTTCAGAAAACTTACTGAGAACCTGCCACTTGATTCCTGGCACTGCTAGGGATCCAAAGTAAAATATGGTCCTTGTCCTCAAGGAGGTCGAAGTGTAGACTGCCACAAAGGGGAAAGGATGAAAAGAGAATGAAGAGGAGTTTTCTTTGATGTGAGCCCCATTCATCCTTGACACCCTCTCATTGCCCTCTCTGGAAACCCATCCCGTCCCCCAGCACCCCTCTGCCGTGCCTTTACACTGCTGAACCCTGCTGTGGGGGGCCCAGTCCCCCACCCTCTGCAACCTCTCTATCAAAACCCATGCCATCCAGGCGGCCTATCGAGTTAGAGGTTAGGAGTAAAACACATCTGAGTATCGGAGGGAATTTTTTTTTTTTAAGTGCTGAATGGCCTGCTTTGGTACGAGTTAGGAGTGGCCGAACAATATATTTGCAAAATTCAAACAAGGATTAAAGGACCACCTCCTTCACTTAATTATTTCTTATAGTTACCTCCTAATCTTTTATTTGAGGTTACCCTTTGGGGTGATTCTGATGATGGGATTTGGGGTATATGACAGGCTCTGGGAGGTGTTTTGGGACGACAAGAGGCCCCTCATATCCTGCCATAAGAGTGATCACTTCTGCTCCAAAAGTTATAACCACAAAGGGGTTCAGGGAAGTAAAATAATGGAGCATGTACAGGGTATATATTTTCCAAAGAAAGGCGAGATGGCAAGCAAAGACATAAAGAGTCCATGCAAAGGGCTAATTATTGTGAAGTATCCAGTCTCATTTATAGCTACATGCAGCCCTGTCTTACAAACCTACAGCTTCTCAATGACTGGATGGATGTGTGGCTCTTCCCATTGGCTTTCTCCCAAACCTCCTGTCTAGCCTCTGCTAGCCACTCTGCTGCTGCTCTGGGGCCATCAGAGAACCTGAACTTTATAGGAAGAGCAAAGAAAGGGCACAAGAAACACAGAAATGGCACCAGGAGATAACCCTCAGAGCAGGTGGGGCTCCCAGTGATTTCTGTGCTCACAGCCGTCTTCCTCCACACTGCCTGGGATGTCACCACCAGCTGGGGATTCCTTGTGGTGGTTCCCAATCCTGGTGCACTTTAGAGCCACTGGGGGGCCGTAACAAAATAAAACAACTGATGCCTGCTGCTCAGAGATTCCGATTTCAGCCAGGATGCTGGGCTATTCTGATATGCAGCCAGGATTTAGAACCAGAGCAGGCGATCCAGCACTTAAAAAAATTCCCTCATACTTAGATAACATGTTTTATTCCTAACCTCTAACTTGATCGGCTGCCTGGGTGGCGAGAGTTTTGATAGAAGAGGTTGCAGAGGGTGGGGAGCCCCTCAAGTGGGGTTTGGCCTCGTGAAGGCACTGCAGAGGGGTGAGGGGGAATGGGAGGGGTTTCTAGAGAGGGCGATAGGAGGGTGCCAAGAACAAATGGGGCTCATATCAAAGGAACACTCCTCTTGATTCTCTTTTCATCATTTCCCATCTGTGGCATCTATTGAAAATCAGTAAAGGTAGTTTTCAGCCACACGGTGGATGGGCTGGATCAATTGTGGGCTAGCCTCTTGGAAATGTAGCTATCTTCTACACAGCTAATTGTGTGGCAAAAATATATGTAGCTCACACACAATAGCTAGTTTTTACATTGCAGCCCATTTTAATTTAGAGCTTGCTTTGTTTAGCTTATAAATACTCTTGGTAGAGTAGGTGAGTATGATCGTAATTAGAGTCAGCCAGGACCAAGAAAAGAGACCCAGCGGACCCTCAGGTTGAGACATGGATTCACACTCTGTCCCAAGCCTGTCCCAGGAGGCAGTCCTTTTGCCAAAACATGAGACATTTCAAGACATTCTTACTCTCTCTGAGGAGCTGGATTTAGGCAGCATGAGTCAGCGCAGATAATTTGCTTTTAGGCAATTTTAACTATTTCCAAGTAAATGGGTGGGAATGGATGGGTTTTTTTGGTGCCAGGGAACCTTCTTGACTACTTTGCTGTCTCTTTTCCAGTGTGGTGCTCCTGGCATTTGCATCTCATCCCACAGGTAAACGCCCCCCGAGTGTTGTTCTGTTTGTCTGTCTGACGTTGCTTATTGGACCCAGTGAGCCTGTCTCTCAGAGACATTTCACAAGAGAATGTTGTTGCCCCGCCAAGAGTGACTGCAAGGGGAGGAAAGTCCCGCCTGTTTTTAAACTGCCCTTAATAAAGCAGTTTATTGCCCAGGAATTTATTCTTACCCCTTCCTGTTGTCTGTGTTTTCTTCTGGTATGATCTCAGATATATAGCCAAGTCCATTTCCTACTGAGTAAACTAGTGCTTATTTTGCCCTCTTCTGAAATTCCTTTTCCAAGCATCCTGAATTGTTCTTCATTTCATTCATTCATTCATTCATTCATTCATTCATTTTGAGATGGAGTCTTGCTCTAGCCCAGGCTGGAGTACAGTGGCATGATCTTGGCTCATCACAACTTCTGCCTCCCAGTTCAAGCAATTCTTCTGCCTCAGCCTCTTGAGTAGCTGGGACTACAGGCATGCACCATCACGCTTGGCTAATTTTTGTATTTTTAGTAGAGATGGGGTTTTACCATATTGGTCAGGCTGGTCTTGAACTCCTGACCTCATAATCTGTCCACCTCGGCCTCCCAAAGTGCTGGGATTGTGGGCGTGAGCCACCGTGCCTGGCCTGCTGTTCATTTCTATTGTTAAAAGATTTGGCGAAAAAGTTCAAAAGTTCAATAAACTCCCTGAATCCCTTTTTGGTTATAACTTCAGGAGCAGAAGTTATTGTTCTTATAGGAGAATATGAGGGGCCTCTTGCCATCCAAAAATGTGTCCCAGGGCCTGCTATGGTACCCTAAATTCCATTATCAGAATTACCCCAAAGGGTAACCTCAAAATATTAAGGGGTAAATATAAGAAATAAGTGAAGGGGTTGGTGCTGTAATTCTTGTTTGAATTTTGCAAATGCAGTGTTATACTCTTTCTATCTGGCATCATTTTTTTTAAGTTTGTATCATGTGTCACCATGATTCTCATAATTGCAGATGAAAGAAGTCAATTTTTAAAATGTATCTTCACTCTATTGCTGCCTCAATTGCTCTGTAGTTGCTTTTCAGATTTAGGAATTGCCCACAAGACCCTATTTCATCACAGTTTTTTGCTTTGAAAGGCTTTGAAGTTGATGCCAAAAGATAAAACAATGGCCGGGCATGGTGGCTCATGCCTGTAATCCCAGCACTTTGAGAGGCCGAAGTGGGTGCATCACCTGAGGTTAGGAGTTTGAGACCAGCTTGACCAACATGGTGAAACCCCGTCTCTACTTAACATACAAAAAATCAGCTGGGCATGGTGGCGGACACTTGTAATCCCAGCTACCTCGGAGGCTGAGGCAGGAGAATCTCTTGAATCCAGGAGGCGGAGGTTGCAGTGAGCTGAGATCATGCCATTGCTCTCCAGCCTGGGCGACACTGTGAGACTGTGACTCCATCCCCCCAAAAAAGATAAAACAATAATGTCTGTGTGTGGCATGGCTGAAAATACACATTTTATTGGTCATTCTCTTTGTGGCTTCGTGGAGTGTGGTGCAAATAGTAGACTCAGAATAATTGGAATTTTCCTTGGCTCCCCTACTGAGTGGGCTTAAGATCATTTTTTTTCAAACAAACCACAAAATGAATGTTTACTGACCACTTGCTATGTAGAAGGCATTACCCAAGCCCTCTAGGTCCCAGTTTTCGCATCTAGAAAATAAGAACGGTGAACTGGCTGCTTTCTAAGGTCCCTTCTAGCTCTCATCCTGTGCTCAAAGCAATAACAGCTTTCTGTTGGTGTTTTTAGCTGCTTCTTTCTGTTGGTGTTTTACCTGCTATCTGAATGAGGATCCTCAGGGAGTTGTTGATAGTGAATCAAGAATAATGTTTCTAGATTGTATATGACATATCTGAATCCATGTCTCATAAGGATAACTTGAATGCTTTTTTCTTAATACATTACACTCTGTTTGCCATATGAAAGCACAGCTCCTACTGTCTGCCCGCTCCTGTGAATGATGACTTCTCAAAACTCTGAGGTTTACTGTTGAGTACCCCCTGCTGTCATTTGCTCAAAGTCTATCCTTAGAATAGTAAGTCCTGTGAAGCCAGGCTGTTAACCCTAAGCGGGTTCCACTTACCCATACTGCTGGCTGTCTGCCTTTCAGTTGCATCTCTTATCATTTCTTTATGCAGCCAGGCAGCTGCCACCCAGCAGATATTTTAGAGCCTACTGAGTATCCTGCCCTTTGAATTGTGCTTTTGTCAAAGGCCTTTGGAAAGTTATGTTCACAGATTCTCCTTGATTTACATATATGTTTACATCCTGACTTATTTCTAGTGGACTTGAGTGAATAATTTTTTTTTTTATGGAGTCTTGCTGTGTTGCCCAGGCTGGAGTGCAGTGGTATATCTCAGCTCACTGCAACCTCTGCCTCCCAGGTTCAAGCGATTCTTCTGTCTCAGCCTCCTGAGTAGCTTGGATTATAGGCACCTGCTACCATGCCTGGCTAAGTTTTCCATTTTCAGTAGTGATGGGGTTTCATCATGTTAGCCAGGCCGGTCTCGAACTCCTGATCTCAAGTGATCTGCCTGCCTTGGCCTCCCAAAATGCAGGGATTATAAGCATGAGCCGCCATGCCTGGCTGGGTGAATAATTTTTACCTAAAGAAATCACACTGCCCTTCCGCTAAGAGGTTGTGCTTGTTAATTTGTTACACTTACGTTGGTCAGAGCTGAAAGGAAGCTTAGCGATTCTCCCAGGTGCCACCAAATTGTATTAATTACTTGTGCACCAACCTAATACAAATGTGGAGACTGAAACCCTGAGGGGTTAAGTGATGTGACCAAGATGATACAGGGTAGGCGAGGAGCAGAGGGAGACTGGGGATAGGTCTCCTGACTCTCTTTCTAGGTTTGTCTTTTTAAATGCTGCTCTTTGATCCTACACTTTATTAAAGTGTAACAATAAAGCAATAACAATAAAGTGATTTTTAAATGCTGCTCTTTGATCATACACTTCATCAAAGTAACAATAAAGTACAATAACAATAAAGTGATCCGACACCTTATTGTTATTATTTTTGAGACGGAGTCTTGCTCTGTTGCCCAGCCTGGAGTGCAGTGACGCTATCTTGGCTCACTTTAACCTCTGCCTCCCGTGTTCAAGTGATTCTCCTACCTCAGCCTCCTGAGTAGCTGGGATTACAGGCACCTGCCACCATGCCTGGCTAATTTTTGTAATTTTAGTAGACACGGGGTTTCATCATGCTGGCAGGCTGGTCTCAAACACCTGACCTCAGGTGATCCGCCTGCCTCAGCCTCTCAAATTGCTGGGATTACAGGTGTGAGCCACTGCACCTGGCCCCCTACACTTTATTATAAATAGTCCTACTCCAGTGAAAGCTTTTGTACAATGTTCTTAAATTTCTGTTTGGAACTGCTTTTGGTTTGGGAGATGTGTTTCTGAACATGGCGACAGCTGGTAATAGCTTAGACATTTTGGCCAACAGTCTAATGTTTTCCTTGAGTTACTGCTAAACTTTTAGCTCAATACATAAATACCTTGGACACTTAATTACTCTCTGGCAATACAAAGTGGTCAGAAATATAAGACTCTAGAATGTCCTGGGCAAAGGAGTAATTTAAAATAGGCTTCAGTTCTTCTTGAGGTAATGAAAATGTTCTGGAATTAGATGGTGGTGATGGTTGCACAACTCTATGGATATACTAAAAACCACTGAAGTGTTCACTTTAAAAGGGTGAGTTTTATAATATGCAAATTATATCTCAATAAGAAAATATATTGGGGGAATACAAGGACATCTCTCTCATTTGAAAACCTGTTTGGAGCCTAATTATGCCAGAAGGGACACTTGCATGGAATAATTTTTCTTCAAGTTATATTTTCATGATTTTTGAAAAAGAACGGACATAGATGTTCACCTTCCCTGCCCTCTCCTGCAGGGTGGGGGATGGGTCTGCGGTGGGCAACCCAGTGTCCCAGGCCTCTCTCTGATGAATCCAGCAGGCTCCACAATGCCCTGATTGTGGATGTCCCTGGAGTGTCCTGGGACAGTGCCCTTGAAGGACTCTTGGCTGCTACTTTGATTTGTTGCCATTTTCTGCCAGCTGAGGTGGTGTCATTGCAGAGGCCAGGTACGGAAAATCAGGCTTATAAGAAAGGTTTTGCTGGGCCGTGGCACTGGCTGTGTCGGCCGCAGAAGTGACTGTGGGCTCCCTTGCTGTAAGGGAGCAGGGCAACTCTTACAGAGTGGCTCCAATTCCTGCCAGTTCATTCATTAGCTTTCTAACTGGACCCATGGTGTCTAGCCCATTGCAAGGTAGGACCGCACTTTATTCTTTCTCACTTGCTTGTTACACTTGCCATCTAGACCGTCTGCCGCAGGACCTGAGTGTGGGTTAGGGCGAGCTGTCTTCCTGGTTCCCCACTGCCCCAGTTAAGATACAATCAGGCTCCATAGGGACAGTCTTCTTGGAAGGATCTGTTCATACTTTCAGACATTTTATAGCTGAGCTCAATTCTTTTTGGTTTCCTCTTACTCCTTCCTTTTTATTTTATTTTATTTTTTTTTTTTGAGACAGAGTCTCACTATGTTGCCCAGGCTGGAGTGCAGTGGCGTGATATCTGCTCACTGTAACCTCTGCCTCCTGGGTTCAAGTGATTGTCCTGCCTCACCCTGCTGAGTAGCTAGGCTTACAGGTGCCCATCACCACACCAGCTAATTTTTGTATTTTTAGTAGAGATGGGGTTTCACCATGTTGTTCAGGCTGGTTTTGAACTCCTAACCTCAAGTGAACCACCTGCGTTGGCCTCTCAAAGTGCTAGAATTACAGGCTTGAGCCACCACACCCTACACCCTTCTTTTATTGCTTGTATCTTAGTTATTTGATCGTACTTTAAAAACATTTTTAAATTGATTCATAATTTACTGTATAGCTCGATCAATTTTGGCAAATCTACGGACCTGTGTAACTGATACTCCATCAAGATGCAGAACATTTCTGTCACTGCAGAAAGCGTCCTCCTGCCCCTTCCTAGTCACACCCTCTCCACACCGTGAAGACCTTTCTGATGTCTGTTACCATAGATAAGTTCTCTCTATTCTGAAGCCCTTATAAATGGAATCATTAGTACTTTTTGTGTCTGGCTGTTACATGCAGCACGTCTGGAGATTCATTCATGTTGCTGTGTGTATCGTGAGTTTGTTCCTTTTGGTTGCTGAGTAGGGTTCCACTGTATGGATATGCCATGTTTGTTTATGTTTACCTGTTGATGCTCACCTAGGCTGTTCCCAGCTTGCGCCCGCTCTGAACATTCTCATACCAGCCTTTTTGTGGACTTACGTTTTCATATCTCTTGGATGAATACTTCAGAATAGGATTTCTGGGTCTTAGAGTAGATGTATGTTTCACTTTGTAAGAAAGGGTTTTTTCTGAAACGTTTGTACCATTTTCCACTCCCACCCAGCAGTGTGTAAGAGTTCCAGTTGCTCCACATCCTCAGCAGCACGTAACGTGTCAGTCCTATCTGAACTCCCCTAGAGGGTGTGTGAGGGCTTCTGGTTAGTGCTTTGCCCGAGTTTCTCTCCTCACACTCTCCTGATTGGAAAGAGGGGCTCTCTTGCCGATGCACCTGCGGAGTGCGCGGGCAACGGTGGTGGGACTCAGGCAGACGGTTCCACGTGCCCTCAGCGTGCCTCACCACAGAGTTTGCTGCTTGGTGGGTGGAATCCTCCTCCCTTTAGCCTTTTGACTTCACGATTCATGTCAAGGCTCCGAGAATCTCGTAACCTTCCTTGAGAAGAGGACCACCACACTCTTTTAAGTATAGTAGAAAACAGGAAATTTCCCATTAAAGAGTTTACACTTCCTATTTGTATGGGGTCCCTTAGCTGCGGTGTTCAAGAGAGCTCTAGGAAATTTCAGGGAACGGGAGAGGAACAGGGAGACTCAGGAACCTGACCCAGAAACAACCTTGTTACCTGGTGTGTCTGTCACTTGTGTGTGAGACCGAGCAGGCAGCACTAATCACTGCTTGGAACCGACCCCCTGTTTTCCTGCCAGTTTTGAGGGTGGGAACATGAGAGGAAATTTTCCTCTCGTTCAAATATCAGTTAGTCTTGAATGTGGTTGTATCGTGCCACACTTTTCACCGTGGCAATTTCATGCTTCGTAATCTTTAGAGAAATGGGATTCACTCGCTCACTCAGAGTCAGCGGAAATTCAACTGCAGAATACAAGAGCGAGGGCCCAGCTCAGACTCCATTGCGTAAGCTGCATGTTGCTGTAGGAAAACATGTTTACAACTCTTTAGCCACTCGATTTGAGCTTAAGCAGTGTAGTTCAGCACTAGATGGTGCAAGAGTGTTGTCTTGCAGCAATTTTTTAGGCTCCTGGATTGAGTTTGCATGTGGCTGGGGCCAGCCAGCCACACGCTGCAACCTCTTCCGGGGGTATTTATTGCACAGTCAGTAACATTTGCTGTTCCAGGGCTGCTGTGCACCCTCTCTGCTTAGGAGTACTACTTAGCAAAAGAGAAGACAGGTGGAAGGCCTCAACGGGGACTATTTGAGGTCAGCTTGAAATTGAGGACCACAGAGCCAGCTGGAAGCTAGAACATTCGCTCTAGGGAAGGCAGGAGATGATCAGGTCTTTCCGACGCTCTCGATTTGGTAGTGCTGGCTGTGTGCTGGGTATGCTGGGTATGGCGCTTGTACACGGTGGGTGCAGGGATGAGTAAAATAGCGTCCCAACTCTCAGGGAGTCGATAATTCTAGGAGGAGGAACAGGTGTGAAGTCAGTTAAGTGCTATGTGATATAGGTGTGACGGTTTTAGAAATGGTTCAAAGGTAAGGACTTAGCTACTCTCTTATTTTCTCTCTGTCATTAATTTATGGGGTCAGTTTTCAGGATTTGGGAGGGGGTTATTATTTCCTGAAGACTGTGGTTTTTTCTTTCTTTCTTTCTTTTCCTCCCTCCCAGTCTTCCTCTGACCACACTTCTGCTCTTTAGACCCCCTCCAAAACGTGGGCTATGCTAGAAAACCTGCCTGTTTACCTTGCTGGAGCGTTTCTGATGAAAGACGGGGTGCTGAGAGGGGTGCAGCCTGAGGGGCCTCAAGGTCCTGGGTTTCATTTGCCCCCCTCTCCGCCGTTCCTTGCAACCACACTGGCTGTGCTGCAGTTCCTCTCACCCTGAGAGGAAAATTGGGAAAGGGCCAAGAGCTCACAACTGCCAAGGAGACGGAACGAATTCTCCATGGACATGGACAAACTCTGCCTCCACCTGCCTCAGTGGAGGGCTCTGACCACTCTCTGGGTCTGGGGTCCCCAGGGCACCCTTGCCTATCACTTCTGTGTGAAAAGGAACTTCAGAATATATCCATGCTCTTCTCACTGTAAATGACAACTAATGTCATTGACAAATTCCCTCTATCAACACAGATCCCAATTTGACATGAGAGGTATTTAGAGAAATCGTGGCTGAAAGAAAATAAGAACTCTTGTGCTTCATGAAAACCAGATCCCAAGAAATCCCCTTCTTATAGTTAAACACATACTCACTTGCAGAAACAAAACAAAGAAAATAACCGTCATAACTTTAAAAAGCCCTCCAGAGAAATCGAACTCAGAACTTTCCTTCCCAATAGATAGTTGAATCATTTGAGATCCTTTGGGTCTCCAAGAAAGCATAGGAACCCCTTGTGTCTTCTGATCTGAAACTCTTGAGTAATAGCATAATGGTGAAGGAAATGCTGCCTGTGTGTTCCACTGCACACCTAGCATACTAGGAATACTTAGGAAAATCAGCCCCCTTCCCTCAACTCCCAGAACTGAGAGACAGGCCAAGGCCCAGGGGTCTGGAAGACAGAGCTCTCCAGGGGATTCAGAAATTTCAGATTTGGAAGGCTCAAGCTATCTGCTGTGGAAATGCTTCATTCCTTTTCTCCGGACATTTTTGGAAGGCTTTCTGCTTTTTTAATCTCCTGACTTCTTGTTTGTGACCAAGTTCAAATTCCAGAGAGAGAAACAGCCAATATGTGTGATTATTTCCTCCTGCACCAAGTGGAACTAAAAGAATGAACTTACTTCACAAGAAATAAATGTACCCTTTGGACCTCCAACTAAAATGAATTTGCACAGTTGGTCTGGCCCCCGTGCTGTTCTTGCAGTCATTAAACATGAAAATGAAAAAAAAAAAATGGCAGGGCAATGCCTCCATGACCTTTTTTTAGATATAAGGCAGAAAAGAAGGAAACACTCTTGAAAAAAATTCTTTTATACTGCACACTCTCTTGTGGAGGGTTGGCTGCCTAGTAGAGAGGAGACAGCCTAAGGTTTAGATTGACTGGAGTTCACATTCTGGCTCCATAGTTTAAGAGTTGTGCAATTTTAGCCATGTTTCTTAACCTCCCTGAGCCCCAGTTTAAATGGACATAATAAAACCTCACAGAGTTGTTACTAAGATTGAAAGAGATAAATACCTAAAGATTTTAGCATTGGGCCCTGCACAAGGCATGCTCTCACTAAATGGGCATTATTATTATACTGCTATTATCATGATAAGACAATGTCAGTAACAGAATCCCTGGGGATGTCAGAGTGAATTTAACTCCAGGGGACTGAAAACACAGGCCTGCTAAAGACCCCCTCCTTGCATTTCCTGGGACGGCAGGGGGCAGAGGGGCATGTGAGACCGCATGGGTCACTGTTTCACCATTGCTCTGCCCCTCAGGTGATCTCTTCAGCGTCCTGGACTTCCCATTCCTGTACTTCTACAGATTCCATGGCAGCTGCTGTGCCAGGTAATCTTAAGCTCATTCATTTGAATGCTTTCTGTGCTGTCCACTGTGTCTTCCTCTCTGTGAAGCTCAAGGTCACTGCTGGTGACTCGAATAAGTGGCAGGAGAGAGTGGTGGTGGGTGCAGGTGAGGAAGCAGTCACTGCGTCACCAGCAGGCTGTCAGCCCCCTCAGACGCTCAGGGCCAGCTTGGACCCATAGAAGTGCCTCCCCCAAGACAGTGAAAACCAGCAAAGTGGTTTTCACACTTTGCTGAAGACCAAGGATTCTCCCACTTTTTTCCCCCTCCACAAGCAAATCTCACATAGAATTGCAATATATAAAACTGATGAAACAGATCAAGTTCAAGGGAAGATTTAGGTTCAGAATCCCACCTGCTCAGCTTTTACCTTGGCCTCCTTCTTGCTCTTCAAGGCAACCTCCACCAAACCTGAAGACTCTGAGAAATAGATTTTGGAAACTGATGACTAGGAGATGTCTAGACAACAAGGTGATCATTAGTGCTTGATCTTGGGAAGGACTCAGGGATATAGGCCAGTTAGAGGGCTGCATCCAAACACACAGAAGTGTGTCCCTGCCCTCTCCCCATGTCCTGCCATGAGATTACCACTCTGCTTGACCTCAGCATGCTGAGAAGTGGAAAGCCTTCTGTGGATAGGCCCAAAGCATGTGTGGTATTCTGATACGGTAGAAAGACCAACCTGGGTTGAACCCACAATTGCTGTTGCTAATTGTGTGATCTTTGGGTCCTAAGCTTTGTGCCTGGCCCAATAAGTGGTGGCCATTATGATTATCTACTTGGGTTGACTATAAATGTCATGTCAATAGACCGTGAAGAATTGCTGTGTAAAAGTCAGGTTGCCTGTTCCCACACATACAAAACAGTGCCTTGTGAAGCAGTGACTCTTTACAATGTTAAAAAGCTGCTGTGTGGCTAGTGGATATGTCCTGTTCGTCTGCTGTGTTCAGGCCAAAAGAAAAAAGAAAAAGAATCAATATTACAGAGTTTGTTTCTACATTTGAGCCTTGGAATGATTTATTTATCACCTTAGAAAAGATTCAGGAAAACACTGACACAATTCACTTTCCCAGTTCCTGTCAATTGATTAGGCCTTGCCCGTTAGCTGGAATCACATGACGTGAGTCTTCGTGCTGGGCGGGCGGCTGTGGACTTGTTTCCCTTTGTGTCTGGTTATTTGGCAGCATGGGCAAGCAGGGTCAGCCATTGTTTGGTTATTTGGAACAGAGCAGCACAGTTCATAGCCCATTGATGTTGGCTTTGTGGGGTGACAATTGGGCTCTATTTCTGCCCTTTTTAATCTGCAACTTTCCCATAATGCAACATGGTAAATCGGGTGTTTCTTTTTTTTATTCTAAAGATCTGGAAATCTCTATTTGAATTGATTTGACTCTGTTACATTTTACCCATGCTTCTCTACAGAGCTCAGCCTCTTTGAGGGATGCGTCGATTTTCCCTGTGTCATTTCAGAGGCTCCACCATATCTCAGACTGAGCATTGTCACTTTCGGGAGGTTCTGGGGGAGCTCAGGGTGGCATGGTAGCCGTAGCCCAAAGACCCCATTAACCGGAGTCTCCTACTCCCAGACTCCTTCACTTCTGAGAACCTCCCTCTGCTTTTCAGATCTGCCTCCCTAGCAAGAGGTAGATGAGCTGACAGTGCACAGAGAAAGATAAGAGATCCATGAGTAATGTAAAAATGAGTCACAGACATATAAGTCAAGCGATGGGAAGGAGTCCCAGATCCTTCCACAAGCCTGTCAGTCACAAACGTGCATGAGCTTATCCTGGCGCAGAGTCTGCACTGAGAGGACAGTCAACGTGGAATCATGCTACTCCTGTGGCTAGAGGCAGGGAGGAGAGGGAAGGACTCGAGGGAAAGGAAGTCTGAGAGGTTGGGCTGGCACGTGTGAAGTTGTTACCTCCTTGGACACAGAGGTGGGAGCCAGCAAAAGGAGTCTGGCGCACTGGCTGCCTCCCTTTTCAGCCCTACCCTCATGACCACCAGCACCTGGCACATCTCACTCTGTGTCTAGCAGGTCAAGAACATTTCCATGAAGCCTAACCTCCTCCCCAATTGTGCTGCCTCCAAATACCAGGAAGAGTTGGAGCTCTCTTTGTCTGGCCCTGGCCACACAGTGGCCCTTTTGAGGAGAGTTCCAGCACGGCAACTACATCTGCCCACTGCCGTGCCAGCGCCCTTGCTGGTCCAGAGATCTGAAGAGCCATTCTAATTGTACCTGTGCCCCAGTTTCGTTGTTAGTAAAGTAAGACTTTGGGGCTAGGTAATCTTACTGTTCTAAAAGCCTTTGGTTTCCATTAAGATAGGATGAGAACTGCTATGATTATTTCTACTTTAAGCAAACTGAACCCTAATCCCAGCACTTTGGGAGGCTGAGGCAGGCGGATCACAAGGTCAGGAGATGGAGACTATTTTGGCTAACATGGTGAAACCCCATCTCTACTAAAAATACAAAAATGAGCCCACACCTGTAGCCTCAACTACTCAGGAGCCTGAGGCAGGAGAATCGCTTGAACCTGGGAGGCGGAGGTTGCAGTGAGCCAAGATCGCACCACAACACTCCAGCTTGGCGACAGAGTAAAACTCTTGTCTCAAAAAAAAAAGAAAACTGAACATGAGACGAGAAAAAGATGGAAAGGGGGATTTGGTTAAGGTCACGAGGGTCAGTGAGCGCAGCGAGGAACAGAAATGCAGGCACTTGGTGTGATTGGGTGGGCCTGCTGCTTACCCACGGGGCCTCTTTACCTTTCTGGTGTGAGTAACTTGACATCTTAATCCATAGCTATTCAGTCTCCCATGACTGCCGATGCAAATCGGAACAAACTTTGCAGGTCGTCAGGGCCAAAGAGGCTGAAATACGCACAGGGGAAACCTAATACCTGTCTTTAGTCCTGCCCCAAGAATGTGGCTGTGAGCTAGTCTAATCTAATGAAGCGAAGGTATGCATTTCTGTGACATTTGGCCTTAGGTATGTTCAGTTCAATTCAACCTGCTTCCAATCGAACCTGACAAGCATTTAGTTAATGTGTACCGTAACTGAGGCACCATGTTGGGCTCTGTTGAAAATACAAAGAGCAGCCCAAGACGGGGTCTTTCCTGCTCAGAACTTATGATCTGTGTTGGAGCTGCACGCTAGTGCCTGTAATAAGGTCAGATGGGAAGGTGGCAATCGAGGGTCTGGAGATGAAAACGCAGTACACCTCACAGGACCTGCCTGTCTAGCCTGGAGTTACAACTGCAGTCATATGTCTTACTTTGCAATTTTCAAGTTCAAATAAAAGTCACAATGAAACTACCACTTACACATATTTGCAAGTCAGCCTTTCTCTCTCTCTGTCTCTTTCTCTTTTTCTCTCATTCTCTCTGTCTCACCTTTTCCCCAATTGCCCTGCCTCCAAATGGCAGGAAAAATTTGGAGCTCCCTTTGCTTTGGCCCTGACCACACAGGGCACTTTTGAAAATAGTTCTAGCACTGGCAACCACATCTCTGTCCACTGCTGTGCCCTCGCCTTGTTGGTCCCGACTTCTGAATAGCCCCCAAATGCTGCTCCCTCCTCAGGTTCCCATGAGTGGGGATCTTTCCATTCACACACATGTGTAGGCATCATTTCCAAAGCATACCTCTGTGGCAGGGCAGCCTGGTTTGGGGGACTTTTGGCCTCAGCCATATGTGACACTGAAGTTAGCCTTTACCTTCAGATTCTTATGAGCCTAGAGGCTAGTCCAGACTCTCTCTTCTCATATGGTAAGTTGCCTTGCTTGAAAAAAATGTAAGCTCTACTTTTCCAAGCACCAAAACTCCATAACTTCTGTGGGAAGGAACAGGAGGTGTTGTCCTCCACTGTTTTTTTTCTTTCCTGATTTAGCCAGAGACCTCTGAAATTTCTTTGCACCACCCTGTCTCACCAACGAAATTCTCTCACCATAGCTCCTTAGAAACGCAGAGCTTAATGACTTTTTAAATTTTTATATTTTCATTTAGAGATCACAGATGTAGAAAACACAGATGAGGTAGAGGTTGTGGAATAATTTGAAATCGATGGGTGAAATATAGCAGAAACTAATCAGCCATTGGCTAAAGGAAGACAAGCCTCACTAACGAAAGAATCTTTTCTCCTTCCAGTGGATTTTTGGGATTCTTTCTCATGTTCAGTACAGTGAAGCTAAAAAGCCTTCTGGCCCCAGGGCAGTGTGCAGCCTGGATTTTCTTTGCTAAGGTAAGAGACGGGAGGGGTGGGAAATTCTTTCTCAAGAGCCTATGTATCCAGAGATCTCAGAGCCTGGGTAATGTGAAGTTGTTTGAGCTTCATGAGACCATTTCTAGGTACTGTCCATGAGCCTGATTCTTCCTTCATTCAGGTAATGATTTCTGAGACCTTCTGCGCGTTTTATCAACATGACAGATTTTATTTTTTTCACAGTCCTGGAAGGCACTCATGATTAGGCTCCTTATTTCCTTCCTGGAGGCTCTGCCGGTGTCCAGAGGTGACGTGACTTTCAGTCGATCCAAGGTGATAGAGAAAGGAAGACAGATAAATGGCCAGGTTGGGGTATTTCTATGAAGTCTTAGAAAACGGACTGTTCAGGCCAGGCGTGGTAGCTCATGCCTGTAATCTCAGCACTTTGGGAGGCTGAGGCGGGCAGATCACAAGGTTAGGAGAGCAAGACCATCCTGGCTAACACGGTGAAACCCCATCTCTACTAAAAATACAAAAAATTAGCCGGGCGTGGTGACACGCGCCTGTAGTCCCAGCTGTTCAAGAGGCTGAGGCAGGAGAATCGCTGGAACCTAGAGGCGGAGGTTGCAATGAGCCGAGATCACACCAGTGCACTCCAGCCTGGGTGACAGAGCAAGACTCTGTCTCAAAAAAATAAAAAGGGACTATTCTAAGAATGAGCTCTGTGTATCTGAATGACTATGGGTGAAACATAAAGTGGTGGGGAAACCACAAAGAAACAGAAGGAGCGGGAAAGTGGCTGTGGGATGCCCAATCTTTACTGAAACATGGTGGGTCCACTTCTATTGGCATATTTCATTTTCCTAGTGCCTGTGAGGGAGGCAAGTTGTAGCACCCTAGGTGCTGCTTCTAAGGAGTGAGGCTTCTTAATTAATTTAATTTAGTGAAATCATTATTTAACTTGGGCTTTTAGTCATCTTTGTGTCTTTTGGGTTGATTTTTCTCCAGAAAAAAACCTCAAACATTTTGCTTTGAAAATAAGATTTTTAATGGTATTTTCACCCACATGGTCTATTTTTTTTATTTTTTATTTTTTGAGACAGGGTCTCGCTCTGTTGCCTATATTGGAGTGCAGTGGCACAATCTCAGCTCACTGCAACCTCTACCTCCCTGGCTCAAGTGATTCTCCTGACTCAGCTTCCCAAGTAGCTGAGATTATAAGCATGCGCCACCATGCCTAGCTAATTTTTGTATTTTTAGTAGAGACAGGGTTTCATCATGTTGGCCAGGCTGATCTCAAACTCCTGACCTCAAATGATCCACCCGTCTCAGCCTCCCCAAGTGCTGGGATTACAGGCATGAGCCACTGTGCCCAGCCCACATGGTCTATTTTTTAATAGCATTAATGATTCCAATTCTAGCAGAATGTAAAAAGCAGCTGAGATACTGATTTCCAGCATGACACAGCGAGGAGGTTGATGAACCTTCTTCCCAAAAAACAGCTAGAAAGCTGGAAGAAGACTGTCAAAAACATCCATTTCAGTTTTGTAAAAATTCACCAAAGACACAATAAACTGAGAAGCATTTGTTCATGAAAACTACTAACCTTTGGGTAGGAACAGAATGCATCTGTGGTGTTCTTGCCTATCATCACTCCCATTCCCTCCTCCCCAGCTCTGTCAATGTGGTAGTTCAACCAGGCTGGGAAAACCAGCAGCCTTACTGCTGCTGCCAGGAGGGGTTCGCTCTGTTTGGAGGATTGTCTGTTATATAGGCCAACTCAGTGGTACACGAACATGTAAAGGCCAGTAGCTTTACTAGCTTGACTTTACAGTCCTCTTTGGAACAAGCAATGGACCCGTGGTCTACTGGGGGACTTAGTAGGTGGTTCTGAGAGATGAGACAGCTATTAGGGGCTTGCTATTTTTTTATGTATCTCAGATTGAACTTAGTCTGTGTATATGAGCAGTAGGGATGGAGCAGGCTCACATATTCCTGGCCAGTGGAGCCTGCGTACACACACAGAGGAGCCCTGAAAGAGCTAGCAGAAAGTAAAAGCCAGGGCAGATGTGAAAACAGCCTGAGGTTTGCATGTACTCCCTAGCCCACATAGACAGGAGCAGAGAGAAGCCAGTCTGGCCCAAGGTGTTGGAGCAAAATCTCTGACTAGTCTTTGCCAGAACACTAAGCTATGCAGACATGAGGATGACCCTTAGAAGCCAGAATTAAAAATAAAAACAAGAAAAAAATTTGAGTAAAGACATCAGCAGCTGTAGCTTATATGGGAGACAGATTTCACGTTCACAGATTTAGTCCAGGAAAATTGCTAAATAAGCAAAACAACAATAACAACAAATCTTGTGGGGAAAGTCAGATTTCAGAGTTGCCACCGTATGTTATGTAAAAAGTTCAGTGCTCAACAGAAACATGAGAGACATTCAGAGAAGCAAAATGTGATCTGCGTGTAGTAAAAAAGTGGTCAGTAGGAACTATCTCTGAGTGTCTGTCCTCAGATGTTGGATTTAGCCTAAAAAGACTACAGAGCAGCCTTTAAATTTATTCAGAAATCAAAAGGAAACCATGTTTAAAGAATTGAAGCAAAAAGACTCAGTGAATACAAAACCTCAATCAAGAGATATAAATTATTTACAGAAAGGAAAATAAAGAACCAAATGGAAATTCTGGAGGTAAAATTACACTAACTGAACTGAAAATGCTCTAGAGGGACTCAGCAGATATGACATGGCAGAAGAAAGAATAAGTGAACTGGAATGTAAAGCAAATGAAGTAATTCAATTAAAAAAAAACAGGTTTTTTTTTTTTAATTGAAGAAATGTGAACAGAGCCTCAGACACCTGTGAGATACCAAATATAGCAACCAACATACATGTAATATGAATCCCAGAAGAAGGGAAGAGAGGATTAGAACAGTATTTGAAGAAATCAATTTGTTGAAAAATGTTACTTTACGGATTCAAGAAGTTCAGTGAGTCCCAAGTAAGATAAACAGAGATCTAGATGCATTATAATCAAACTGGTGAAAGACAAAAGAGAAAATCTTGAAAGCAGCAAGAGGGAAATTATTCAACATATATGGGGGAACAACAGTGTAATTAGTGGCTAACTTCTCATCAAAAACAGTGGAAGCCAGAAAGTAGTAGAAGGACACATTCAACATGCTGGGTGAAAAAAAACCTGTCAATCAAGGATTTGATATATAGCAAAACTATTCTTCAAATGTGAAAGAGAAATAAAAACATTCCCAGATGAATGAAAACGAAGAGATTTGTTGCTAGCAACCATATCAGTAATCACATTAAATATAAATAGGCTAAATACTCAACAAAAAATAGAGATTGCCAGATCGGATTTTTTAAAAAACAAAACCCAGCTATATGCTGTCTGTAAGAGTCATACCTTAGAGCAAAAGACACAAGTAGTGTGGAAGTAAAAGGATGGAAGAACCACACAGACAGTTACCATAAGACAGCTGGGTATAGTGGCTATATTAAAATCAGACAAAATAGACTTTATAATAGGAAATATTACTGGAGAAAAAAATAGGGACATTTAATAATGATAAAAGTGTTCATGCAGTAGGAAGATATAACAGTTCTAAATACATATACACCTAAAATAGCACCCCAAGATACGTGAAGCAACAAGTAATAGAAAAGAAAAATAGATTATTTAACAGTAGTAACTGGAGATTTCAGTACTGTGCTCTCAGCAGTTGATAGAACAACTCAGTAGAAAAGCATGAATATAGAAGTACAGAAGACTTCAACAACACTATCAACCAACTGACATAACTGAAATGTATGTGAAACTCCACCAGTTGATTTCAGAATACATTCTTCTCAAATGCACATGGAATATTCTCCACAACAGATAGTATGCTGGTTGTCAAAACAACCCCCAAGTTTTAAAAGATTGAAATCATATAAAGTATGTTCTCTGACCATAGCAGAGTTAAATTTGAAATTCACAACAGAAAAAATCTAGGGAAACCCCATTTATTTGGAAATTAAATATACTTCTAAATAGTTTGTGGGTCAAAGAGGAAATTACAATGGATATTAAAATATTTTTAATCAAATGAAACAAATACAACATATCAAAATTTATAGATGCCGCTTAAAGTAGTGCTCAAAGAGAAATTTATATCTGTGAACACATATATCAGAAATAAATGAAGGTCTCAAAAGAAGAAAGGGCAAACTAAGTTCAGAGTAAGCAGGAAGAAGGATATAATAAAATTTAATGTGGAGATTAATGAAATAAAAAAAGAAAAATAATGTAGATTAATGTTGATTCTTTGAAAACATCAGCAACATTGACAAACCTCTGGCTAGTCTGACCAAGAAAATAAGAGAAAAGAGGCCAGGCATGGTGGCTCATGCCTGTAACCAAAGCACTTCGGGAGGCCAAGGCAGGAAGATCACTTCAGCCCGGGAATTCAAGACCAGCCTGGCTAACGTAATGAAACACCATCTCTACAAAAAGACTTTTTTAAACGATTAGCTGAACATGGTGGAACATACCTGTAGTCCTAGCTACTTGGGAGGCTGAAATGGGAGGATCACTTGAGAGGTTAAGGGTGCAGTGAGCCGTAATCATGCTACTGCACTCCAACCTGGGTGACAGAGTAAGACCCTGTCTGAGAGAGAAAGAGAGAGAGATACTAGTTATCAAAACTGGAAATGAAGGAAATGATGCTCCTACTGATCCTGTAGAAGCTAAAAGGATTGTGTATTGTAAAGAACTTCAGATTTTGAATAACTTTATGACAGAAAATTAGTTGATTTAGATGAAATGGGCAAATTCCCAGAAAGGCACAAATTAGGAAAACTGACTCAAGAAGAAATGAAAAATCTGAATACATTCATAACAAGTAAATAAAAATCAGTAGTAATTTAAAAATCTTTCTTAGGTTTTTTGTTTCGTTTTGTTTTTGTTTTTGTTGAGGGGACAGGGTCTCACTCTGTTGCCCAGGCTGGAGTGCAGTGGTGTGATCTCGGCTCACTGCAACCTCTTCT